TACTTCCAGAAAGCACATGAATTTTAACAGCATCTGTACAAGTATAGTCTGAAATATAACACTACAAGCAGTGTATATTGTCTGTGCTGTTTGTTGCAAGGAGGCAAATTGCTGGGAGGCAAAGGCAGATATTTTTCCCTTGTTTTCCTCCCCAAAAGCTAGGTGCGTCTTATACTTCGGAGTGTCTTATACTCCAAAAATACGGTAACCAGTGGAACAGCTTGCCACCAGAAATTGTGAATGCTCCAACACTGGAGGTTTTTAAGAAAAGATTGAAAAGTGGTCTAGGCCAGGGTCTCCTGCTTGAGCAGGGGGTTGGATTAGATCAGTGTTTCTCAACCTTGGCAACTTGAAGATGTCTGGACTTCAACTCGCAGAATTCCCCAGCCAGCGAATGCTGGCTGGGGAATTCTGGGAGTTGAAGTCCAGACATCTTCAAGTTGCCAAGGTTGAGAAACACTGGATTAGATGACCTCCAAGGTCCTTTTTAGCTCTATTGATTTTGGCTCTAGCCAGCTGGCCCCAATTGTTCCCCCTCTCCCGTCTCTGGCTCCCACCTTGGCGATATTTGGGCCGACAGGTGACCTGCAGGCCGCTGACTTCCACCGTGCAGTTCTCGGTGACTAAGGCAGACCAGGGGATGGTGACGGCAATGCTGTCGATGAAGCCATCCAGGATCTCCAACGGGGCGCCCACAGACTCCAGGAACTCATTGACAGACTGTGGAAGAGGAGATAAGGCCGTGTTAAGCAAAACATATCTAAGGAACATATCCTGAATCAACCATCGCTGCTGACAGTCTCCCATCCCCAATTCATCTCTCCACTTGACTACTGCAACGGGCTCAAGGCAGTGGGTGAGATATTCCCTTATGTGTTTCAATGGCCGACCACCACTGAGCCAATGGATTGAACCAGAGTCAACCGGATTTCTCCTGCATTGCCCTATCACATAATTTTGTCGCAAAGCAGCTAGTATATTATATGAGACAGAGAAACAACACAGTCCAGTTCGGATGTATACATGTTTATGGCGATAAAAACTAATCTTGTGAGTTCACCAGACGGGTGGCCTAGGGAACAAATCTACTAGTCCTGTTGGAAATACTTCGAAGCCTCCTCCCAGAGGGGAGCAACAGAAACAGACCCTAAAGTGGGTGTGTGGGGTCTCTAACAATGCTTTTGGGCTCTAAGCACATAGAGCTTATAAGCAATATCCTTGAAAGACGAGAAGCGAGCTTCCGATAATCTTCTCTGCTGTCCTCACCACTCTCTGTACGGACTTTCTATCCATCAATCCATAAATACATTTGGGCTGGATCTTTAGAGAGAACTAAGCTTTGTTAAGCTTCTCTCCCCATTTGTTGCAGCAAATCAACAATGGCGAACCTTTTTGGCACTGAGTACCAAAAAGGCTGCGTGGAAACATCACGTGTGCGCACACTTGTTACAGCCACATGGGAAAAGCTGAACTTCCAGGTTCTAGCAGGCATGCGCACCTGACAATCAGTTGACCAGTGGGCAGGCGTACTCCTGTTTTGGGCACTGCTGCACATGCAAAGGGATCGCGCTTCGGAAAAGCCGAACTTCTGGATTCTGGCATGCATGCGCACCCAACAATCAGCTGGATGGCATGCATGCGCCCACACCAGTTTTCAGCACTGCCGCATACACGAAGGACTGCTGATCATCGCATGCGCATGCTCGCCAGAAACCCAGAAGACAAACCGGTAAGGGCTCACTGCCGGGTGACATGGCTTCATGTGCCACTTTGGGCACGTGTGCCATAGGTATGCTGTCATGGCAATAAAGGCCTTCTTGGCTGGTTATCGGCCAGGCGAGCTCACCTCTGGTGATTGGCTCAAAGTCACCCAGCTGACTTTCATGCCTGAGGTGGGACTAGAACTCACCATCTCCTGGTGATTGGCTCAAAGTCACCCAGCTGATTTTCACGCCTGAGGTGAGAACTAGAACTCACCATCTCCTGGTGATTGGCTCAAAGTCACCCAGCTGACTTTCATGCTTGAGGTGGAACTAGAACTCACTGTCACTTGGTGATTGGCTCAAAGCCATCCAGCTTACTTTCATGCCTGAGGCGGGACTAGAACTCACTGTCACCTGGTGATTGGCTCAAAGTCACCCAGCTGACTTTCACGCCTTAGGCGGGACTAGAACTCACTGTCACCTGGTGATTGGCTCAAAGTCACCCAACTGCCTTTCATGCCTGAGGCAGGACTATAACTCACCATCTCCTAGTGATTGGCTCAAAGTCACCCAGCTGACTTTCATGCCTGAGGCGGGACTCAAACTCACTGTCACCTGGTGATTGGCTCAAAGCCATCCAGCTGACTTTCATGCCTGAGGTGAGAACTAGAATTCACCATCTCCTGGTGATTAGGTCCAAGAAATCAGAAAGCCTTCTTGGCTGGTTATTGGCCAGGCAAGCTCGCCTCTGGTCAACAAAGGAATGTAGCCCGGAGCACAATAACGCCCGGGTGGCTATAAATATAAACCAAGCCAAGGAGCAGAGACCCAAATTGGCAGCGGGCGCTTCCGTTGGTTGGGAAATCGGTTTTTGCTCCCACGGCCAGGGAGACGCTTGGCTGGGCTGGAGAGCAAACAGGAGCAACGTCTCCTGTTTTTGCAACGCTGGGTGGCCAGGCAACAGCTGTGACGCCCGACCGAGAGCACATGAGTCAAATCTACAAAAACAAACACCCCACATTCCTCTCCAGACACTCGACACTTCCTGGAGCCCTTGCTCCATCCGAGGCAGGTTTGCTCTTGCTCAAGGCGGCCGGCCGGAGCTCAACGGCCCCAGGCTTCCTGTTCATCGCTTAGAATTCGAGCTCGGCCTTCTTATTTTGCAAGCGACTCAAGGCAGCAAATCGATCTGAGGATCTGTTTGTAACAAAGCCTCTTATTTGCCCTACCATAACAACCCTCTGAGGTGGGTTGGGCTGAGAGAGAGGGACTGGCCCAAAATCACTCAGGTGGCTTTCATGCCTGAGGCAGGACTAGAACTCACCACCTCCTGGTGATTGACCCAAAGTCACCCATCTGTTTTTTATGCCTAAGGTATAAAAATACCATGAAAAGATTAGAACTCACCATCGCCTGGTGATTGGCCCAAAGTCACCCAGCTGACTTTCATGCCTAAAGCAGGACTAGAACTCCCAGTCTCCTGGTGATTGGCCCAAAGTCATGCAACTAACTTTCATGCCTAAGGCAGGACTAGAACTCGCAATTGCCTGGTGATTTGCTCAAAGTCACCTATCTCTTTTTAATGTCTAAGGCAGGACTAGAACGCATTGTCACCTGGTGATTGGCCCAAAGTTACCCATCTGTTTTTTATGCCGAAGGCATAAAAACACCATAAAAATATTAGAACTCACCATCGCCTGGTGATTGGCCCAAAGTCACCCATCTGTTTTTTATGCCTGAGGTGGGACTTGAACTCACCACCTCTTGGTGATTAGCCCCAAAATCACCTAGTTCCTCACACACACCCCTTGGGTCTAAGGGGGGACTAGAACTCACTGGCTCCTAGCTTCTAGGCCAGCCCCTTCATCAGTACACCAAATTGGGTCTCGGTTTCATCAATTTGATCTCGCAACGCAACAAGGTGCACTTTCAGCTCCTGGTCTAGACACCTGTTGGCATCACACATGACTCACACCTGTAACACATAGTGACCATTCAAGTTACGACAGCACTGAAGGAAGTGACTTAGGTCCTGTCCTCACACATACGACCATGGCAGCAATCTCATGAGCACGATAAAATTTTGGAAGCTTAGCAAGTCTTTATTATTATTATTTGTTCAATGTATTTGCTGCCTATTTGACCTTTTATGGTTTATGATGTTGGCAGCATCCCAGGATCATTTCCGGCTTCCTCAGCCAGCTTCCAACAAGCAAATCAAGGGGGAGGGAGGGGGGTTGACCAGATTCACTTAATGACCATCTCATTTGCTTAACGACCACAGCAACAAAAGCTGTAAGTTAGGGCTCGCTTAATGACCATTGTGCTTAGCCACGAAGCTCCAGTCCCAATTGTGGTCATAAGGCAAAGCCTACAGGCTGTTCTCGACTTACAACTGTCCGGTTTATGACCGTTTTTCACATTTACGATCATTGCAAGCGCCCACACGGTCACGAGATCAAAATCGGGAGGCTTGGCAACTGGCATGTACTTATGACGGTTTCAGTGTCCGAGGGTGATCCCCTTTTGCCACCTTCTGACAAGCAAAGTCAATGGGGAAGCCAGGTTCATTTAATAACCGTGTCACTAGCTTAGCAATTGTAGTGATTCACTTAACAACGCAGGCAAGAAAAGTCGTAAAATGAGGCAAATTCACTTACTGAACTACTGTTTCACTTAGCAAACATAAATGTTGGGCTGAATTGTGGGTCATAACTCGAGGACTACCTGTATGTGTGCGTATGTCCAGTATATATATACTTTCACACACACTGGGCAGTTAATTGTCTAAAATGATATATAGGCTACGTATCATTTTATTTATCAGGTTGGATTAGTAGACCTCCAAGGTCCCCTCCAACTCTGTTATTCTATTTTCTCAATACCAGTATGTACAGACAAACATCTATAAATATCTATATAAATATGGTGATATTTATAAATATATTTTATAGCTTTCCATGTATACATTTTTACTTACATATTTGTAAGCTGCATATATACATACATAGACTATAAAATGTTATCCTACATTTATTTGTATCCTGCCTTTATTATTTTTACAAATAACTCAAGATGACGAGCATATCCAAGTCCCTTCCTCTTCCTATTTTCCTCACAACAACAACAGCCCTGTGAGCTGGGACTTACCCAAAGTCACCCAAGTTTTCATGGCTAAGGTGGGACTAGAACTCACCATCTCCCGCTTTCTGGTATATGGCAAACAGTATACAGCATGTGTTTATATGTAGAAATGTATATACCAGAACACACAATTATATGTTAAACATATAATACATGTATATTAATAGATTTTAGATAGAGGGATAGATAGAGAGGGGGGATAGGATAAATACTGATAGGTAGGTAGGTAGGTAGGTAGGTAGAGAGAGAGAGAGAGAGAGAGAGACAGACAGACAGACAGACAGACAGACAGACAGACAGACAGAGACAGACAAGGGGGGTAGATAGAAATGGGGGATAGGATGGGATAGGATAGATACCGAGAAAGATGGATGGAGAGAGAGAGATGATCGATAGGTAATAGATGAGAGAGATGATAATGATAGATAAGATAGATAGATAAAAGAGATGATTGATAGATAGATAGATATAGATAGATAATAAATAGAAGAGATGATTGATAGATAATAGATAAATAGAAGAAAGATGATTGATAGATGATTGATAGAGATAGATGATTGATGATAAATAGATAATAAATAGATGATTGATAGATAATAGATAAATAGAAGAAAGATGATTGATAGATGATTGATAGAGATAGATGATTGATGATAAATAGATAATAAATAGATGATTGATAGATAATAGATAAA